TTTTTGGTCGTTTCTTTTTCCTGAAATCGATGTTGCCATTGCCCTTTGAAGTATATGGCGTTCACCAAGACCATTACAGAAGTAGGGTCAATTGCGCCCTTTCCAAAAAGGTCCTTGATTTTTCCTTGTACAAAAAAACAAACAAGAAGGTAACTCTGTTTGGATGTCAACTTCCTGATGACAGAGAGTTGAGTAGTCACAAGACATTTGGAGCCATTGCTTTTTGTGGTTGTTATTTTGTAGTTGTTGAGAATACACACAGCAAAACATACACAACCAATTCAGCAGTTTCTATGAGTACAATTGAGTGACATTCTTCAAGTTGTGCAACCATCCCACCCTCCTTTTCTGAGCTGTTCCTCCCCCACGAACATGAACTCACTGCCCACTAAGATTCCAATCTAACCATTTGAGTTCTTGCTGTCATTTTGATCCCTTGAGCACAGTACTCAAGGCAGACATTTTTTTTACTAATTAAGCTAACCTATTGTTTTATTTTAAAAAGACTTCAGGGGATTTTTTTTTTTTTTTCTGGTTTAAAGATTATCTCAGGGCAATAGTTTCAGGGGTTCATCCAATCACCATGGCTCCAGAGAATCCAGCTGGAAATTTGAAATGCCCAAAGAGCCCCATCTTCTGGCCATGGAGACTGTCCTGCTGTTGTTGTTGTTATGTGCTGTCGAGTCAGACCCGACTCATAGCGACCTCTCCAATGGGTTTCTGAGGCTGTATCATCACAGAAGTAGATTGCCCAACCTTCCTTCCAAGGAGTGGAGAGCCTGTCCTAGTCAAATTAAACTTAATTCAAAGAATAGGGGATGTTTAGTTATTTCAGAAGATGGCAGGACAAATACTTGTTTTCTTCAAGAAATATTCTACAGAGGGTAAAAACAATAGAGGATAAAACCTAATATCAAAAAGGACCTAAAAGGAGTTCTGCTCAGGCTATTGGATACAGAAAAAGCTTGAATAAAATGATAGTTATTTGTGTCAAAACTTTCAGCAAACTAGAAATAAAAGGAAAGACCCTTAAGCTGAAAAAGTATAGTCATAAAAACACCTGAGGCAAATATTATAGCTAATGATGAATATTAAAAGTCTTCTCACTAAGTTCAGAAGCAAGACACAACACAAGGATCCCGATACACCACTTCTATCCACCTGAAGACTCTAGTCCATAAGACAAGGGACAAAAGGCAAAAGGATTAGGAAGCAGGATGATTGTGGATATAGAAATATAAAATAATCTAAAGTAAAACTAGAATTATTGCATGACTCAGCAACGTTAACATACAAAATTAAATTATATACTTATATTCCAACAACAAATAAAATTTGATTAGATATCAACTTAAATTCAGCAAATACTTAGAAACAACTTATCCAAAGATACACAAGACTCCAAGATAATGAAATGCAAAATATCATTGAAAGAAATTAAGGAGGTACCAAATAAATAGAGGTGAATTTCATACTCATGGGATGATTGTATAAAGATAAATATTATAAAGATACCTATGTTCATCAAATATTCTATAGATTCAATGCTACCCCAACTAAACCACTCCTAAATACTCCTTGGTTCCTTTAAGTGTTGGTCTGTCCATGTCATGTTCTGGACTTGACCCCATTTCCTTGTTAGCATTTACTCAAGGTGTTAACCAACCAGCACAAGTTTGGAGACACCCTGTGGGTTTGGGTGTGTGACTTCTCCTTACCATTGGTTTTACTTTCAACCCAAGCATTAATGGCTTTCCTTGTTTCTTCTGGAGAGTGTTCAAAATCAACAGTTTGAAGACGGGCTTGATACAACTTCTCAGAACAGATTAAATATTGCTGGAAAAGAAGGAAAATAGCACAATGACACAAACATAGCCAACACCAAAACAAACCCATTGCTGTTGAGTCAATTCGAACTCATAGCTACCCCACAGGGCAGAGTAGAACTGCCCCATAGAGTTTCAAAGGCTGTAATTTTTAGGGAAACAGACTATTGTATCTTTCCCTGAAGAGCAGCCGTTGGGTTCAAACCATCAACCTTCAGGTTAACAGCCAAGTGCTTAACCACTACACCACCAGGGCTCCTGACACAAATATTGTGTAAGGAAAACAAATACTTGCAGGTCAATATATTTCTAAAATAACACACAGACAAAAGAAGCTCATGAAAGAAGCAGAATCTATTCATACTTATTCTTAATAAAACAAATAACCTTGGCAAAATGCAAAAGCTTTCCAAGAAGAATGTTCAGAAATTTTGGTTGTTACTTTTGTCATATTGTTGGCTTTGTTAGTTTTAAGAAGTTCTAAGCCAACAAAAAAAAAAAATTGCACTAAAGTATATACCATTTCACCATGTCCCTACTCTTTTCTTTACAAAGCAGAGTTATTGCTTTCATATTACAGACAGGAAAATGAGAACCAGAGAGGTTAAGCCATTTACTTGACTGAGGCCTGGCAGAAAGTTAGTGGAAGAGTCCAAATTACAGCCAGTGCTACTACAAAGGAATCGCTTGGAAGTATTTGAGTCTTCCCCTATGAGGATGTCATGCTTGGTAAAGTGGAGGGTCAATGAAGAAGGGGAAGGCTCTCATGAGATGGATAGACACAGGGACTGCAATGATGGGCTCAGGTATAGCAAGGATCATGGGGCTGGCACAGGACCGGGTAGTGTTTCATTTTGCTGTGCATGGGGTCACTATAAGTTGGAGACAACTCGACGGCACCTAACAACAACAACATGTCATATGTCAAACTCCTCATGGGCTACCATATATAAAGTCATAATAATAATAATATTACTCTCTGATGTAGAAAATTAGCATTTCTTCAACTTCATGTAAAGTATGAACAAAAAGCATCTTAAAGAATTTTTGTTAATCTCTTATGTACTATCCAAGTAAAAACGTACATAAATATGGCATCAGTGTGAGGAATGTAGCCCTCTCTTTTAACTAAGTTCCCACCCTTAAAGCCCTGCCATGCTGCATTCTGGAGCCCAATTAGTTAGCATCCATGGCCTTTGACTTATAGAACCATGACCTGTCTACTGCCTCGCTGCCAAAGCAACAACAAAATCTTCATGGACCCGAATGGGATTGTCCATGATCCCATGGATCAGACCTAGAGGAGACACCTCAACAGACCTGCAGGACCTGGTGCCCTACTAAGAACCAGACAGAATGATATGAGACTTAGAAATATGGCAAGCGTGACAGTGGCTACCTGCTATTCAGTTTGCCATTTGCCCACCTGGGTTCTTTTTTGCCTAAATCCAGTGTAAAGCAAAAGCAAAGCTTTACAAAGAGCAAACACTGATGGTCTTCATAATTCAGGCTGAGTCCAATCTCACCTCCATCACAGCAGGGTGATGGAGCAATTAAAACAGGAAGCTGGCACAACTCGAACGTCATCAATGTCAGTGAATTGTACATGTAGAAACCGCTGAATTGGGGTATGTTTTGTTGTGTATGTTCTCAACAATAACAAAATAAACAAAACTTTTTTAAAAGATTAAAAAGAAAGAAATACATTTTTCAAAATCCCTCATTGGTTAGACTCAAATATATGAAGAGGTACAGAGAGACATACTGACTAAGTAGGACTCTTGCCACTGGGATGTGGGATTTAATAGAGCCATCATTGAAAATATTAAGTTTTCACCAAAATAATAAAAAGAAAAACAAAAAAAAATATGAGAAGCTGTAATTGGCTAGGGTCAAATCCATCTTTGGCCACACAACTATCTCTTAGACTTTTGTCAAGTTGACTTTTCAGAATCGATTCCCTATCTGTAGAACTAATGGGAACTGTATTTTAGGACTATGTAAGGATTATATGAGATAATACCTGTAAAGAATTAAGTATAATAATTGGCTTATAGTTGGACCCCTCCTTGGGTTTCTGAGGCAGTCTCTTTACAGGAATAGATTGTCCAGTCTTCCTTCCGAGGAGTGGCTGGTGGGTTTGAACCACCAGCCTCCTGGTTAGCAGTCAAATGCCTTAGGCACTATGCCATCAGAGCTTCCACTCAATAAAATAGTATGTCACAATACTTTTGGGAAATGGCATACACAGTGTTAGAATTTCAGAACTAGAAGGAACTTAGCCTAATCTTCTCATTCTGCAGAAAGGGAAACTTACTTGTCTAAAGTCATATGTCTAATTTGGAACACAACTCAGGTCTCTTGGCTCCCAGTCTAGTGTGCTTTCCACTACCCTTTGATACTCAGCCATTAAGGACCTTTGGAAAAGAAGAGAGAAGTGTACTTTGTTTGTCTCTGGTCTAAAGGGATAATTCTTACCTGCTTTGATTTGTGCTCCATCTCTCACCTTGGTTTTTGGACAACTTTGAGGACTTTGCAAAAGTGAACTTTTATGTAACATTTCATAACTTTAAATGGGCGTTGGTAAAATCATTTCACTGAAACTCCAAGTCAGCTCAAATTCCTTCTCTTAAAGATGACTCTTTCTCTGTGACTCTTCCTACTCTTCATTGATTTTATGGCGTGAAAGTCAGAGGATGCCAAGAAAGCTGCTGGCCTCTATTCCAGATGGGCTTACCTGATGGAATGGCATCATCTGTGTCCCATAGAGTCTGTTGGCAATGCTGAGGGCAGAGTTAGAGTCTGGCTGGTTGATTTGAGAGAATAGGGCTCCCAACTCTGAATGAATCCTTCCAGCTTGGCTGCACTGAAGCATCTGTAAACAAAGAATGGTGCATTAAATCGCTTGATTTCTTGCCACTGAAGAGTGATTGTTGTTGTTGTTATTTGCCGTCGAGTCGGACCTGACTCATAGCCACCCCTCCTTGGGTTTCCGAGGCAGTATCACTACGGAAGTAGATTGCCCCATCTTCCTTCCAAGGAGTGGCTGGTGGGTTTGAACCACCAGCCTTCTGGTTAGCAGTCAAGTGCCTCAGCCACTATGCTACCAGAGCTCCCGAAGAGTGATTAGGAAGGTGAAAACAATATCTAGAGAGCAAGATGTTTGCCTCTGGATAAAAGGGCAGCAGATACTAATAAACAAAGAGTTGAATAGTTTCAAAGCATTTTCCTTCTCTAGGCTCCCTCTAGCACAAGTCTCATCACTGTGACTTTTGGTTATAAACTATGTGTAGAATCATAAGCTATTGTGAAAGACACATGCACTTGTTGATCCCAACAATTTAACTCAAACACAGAAGTCAACATATGTACATAGGACATCCTAGTGGGGTAGTTAAGGTGATAACCCAAGTTTTCTTGTGCCTTTGTGCCTGTAGAATCATTCCTCTTCTCCATCACACTCTTTTCTATGTTTCAGTTTAATACAACTTTGCAGAACTGACTTTACACATCCATCTGTCCCTCGATAATAGAATTTCTACCACCCGTTCAGCTTTGATGAATTCAAAAGAGGGCTGAAAATTCACCGACATTGTAGGAGTAGGCCTATATACCCTAAAGCATTACTTCCCAAACTGTAGGCCTTAATCTCCAAATAATAAATTGAGTTTTGTGAAGTAGTGTTCTGTGAATCTATATGCATTTGTGGATTTTTTTTAAATCAATCACAATCCAACATATAGCTATTGTCATGTGGGAATTCTATGTAACTTTTATATCAAAAGGAATCCTCCTACAGGAAAGAAATAAGGACAGATAGTGTGGGTTAGGAACATCAGGCCTTGTCTTCTGGGTCTATAATTGTCTGGGAAAGATCAGAATCCCTTCTCAGGCTTCACTGTACTGAAAACATCTAATGGTGCATAGATGAAGATACAGACTCAGTATGGGGCATAGTCCATAAAAGACAAGAAAAGTTTGAGGAAGGATGACAATAAATAAGGTAATAAAACCTGGAAGACTTTATTACTGCTATTATTAGCATTATGTTAAACTCTGTACACTGTAGTGATTATCAGGAAGATGAAAGGAGAAAACAAAAGGAGACATTGCTAGCTTCCTTACGGGGCAACCAGGAGACTCCTCTCAACCCCTGAACTATTCTTTCTTAGTGCTCTTGTGTTAAAGACCATTTGACAGCACAGTTGTAATATTATCCTACCTTAGAAGAGTCCTTAAACTCTGGTTTTAATGATTCTACAACATTATTAAAGTGAAGCACCTAGAAAAAGAAAGAGAGACCAATTGGTATCAAAACACTGTCCATTCTATAAAGATTAACAGTATCTGCTTCCCATTTCAGATAAGGGCCAATACTAATAGCTTGTTGTTGTTATGTGCCATCGAGTCGGACCAGACTCATAGCCACCCCTCCTTGGGTTTCCGAGGCGGTATCACTACGGATGTAGATTGCCCAATCTTCCTTCCGAGGTTTGACTGGTGGGTTTGAACTGCCAGCCTTCTGGTTAGCAGTCAAGTGCCTTAGGCACTATGCTACCAGAGCTCCCTTAGTACTTTGGGCAAGTTGCTTCATCTCTCTTAAATACTAGCTACAATGTGGTATTATTAAATGTGGTATTAGTAACAGCTAGTATTTAATAATACCACGTTCCAAGTCCTGAACTAAGTCATTACATGTCTTGTATTACTTAACCCTCCCAACAACTTCATGAGTAGATACTATTACTCCCATTTTATAGTTAGGGAAATTAAGGTCAAGAGAGATGAAGCAAGTTGCCCAAAGCCATTTTCTGTCAGGCTCCAGGGACTGGGCTGTTAGCCTTTTGTCCCTCTCCAACTGTTCTCAGATCATTACCTAGGATGGTTCCCTTCTGGGGCCATGTAAGACATTACATGGTTTCCTGGTACAATATCTATTTTAAGTGCGAGAAAATCATGAAATAAGGGGGAAAAAAGTCAAAAGTAATAAGATCTGCAAGTACCCTAAGAGTTGTTTAGCGATATTTTTCTTGACTTTCTACAGCAATTAAAAATATACATAATGAAAAAATCATAGGACCTTAGTCTTTGTAACCTAAAAACTTTCTTCTCTGAGTCTGTTTTCCCATTCACCAAATAGGATTAGCAATCCCCACTGACCACACAGAGTTGTTATAAAGTTCAAATGTAATGATGAGTATTTATAAAATAAAAAAACTTGATAAATTTTCAAGTGTCCTATAAACATAAATCATTACATTTTATCTTAAAGTTAACTACAGAGGGCAAGACTAGAGCCACATACGTGTTCCCTGTCATGTTTAAATCATGAGAGGAAGAACTCCTAAAGCAAACTGCAGAGATTGATTTATGGTACTATGTACCATAAATGTAATTGCATTATTTAATAATGTAATTGCATTATTTAAGCCATTATACATTTTAAGAAATCTGATTACTCAAATGTATTCTGTCCTTCACAAGTTGGCTGTTTTCTTGGTATAAAGATGCAAGTGATTTCACTGACCATGGTGGATGCATGAAACATTTCCAGGGTATAGGGACGTGTTTGCTACGTTCAGTACCTTTTCTATTTGCTGTGCACTGTTTCTTCTAGCACCAAGGAGGATCATACTTAGGGAATAAAGCAGACTCAGAGGGGAAAAGAAGATGTTATCTCCAACGTTGTTACTGTTGAGCTCTTTGAATACATCAAGGCAAAATTCCACATTCGCTGTGCTGAGGGATCCCATTGTGTATGCCAAGGACTGAGAACAAAAGGGGAAATGGTTTCAGAATATCACTTGGAAGTACAAATAATATCTCGAGTTCAGTTATTCTTTACTGAGCACACACCATTTCATGGAAATTCACTCACCCTTATCAGAGTTGCTGAGCAATGAGTGAATGTTGGAATGGAGAATTCACAGGAGAGTTAGAATCTAATGAACAGAAGACTTACTATTCCTTTCGACCAACAGTTCACAGCTATCTCACCATTATTTGTGTACATTTCAGAATTATCTGTAATTGTTCTGGAGCAACAGAGCAGAAAGGATTAGATCTTTGTGCTCTTAATTTCCATGCTTCAAGGCACTCCTCATCCAGGAATCTGTGTAGAAAAATCCTTGAGACTCTCAGGCTCAGACAGACCAGATACTTTCCCACTAGACGCCTCACCTTCTTAGCTTCCCAGAGGAATAGCTCCATCTCCATCATTCTTGCACAAACAAGTCAATGGTCAATAAAGAAAATTTGCAAAAAAAAATATGCATCTTTTTATCTCCTTTGTGAGAGCTCATTCCCTGTACCCCGCCATGAAAGTTAGGAAATGCCAGCAAGTAGGACCTATCATGAGGCCAGTGGTGGTTCCGTGGTAGAATTCTCACCTTCCATGCAAGAGGCCTGGGTTTGATTCCTGGTCAATGCACCCTATGTGCAGCCACCACCTGTCTCCCAAAGGAATACATGGAGGCAAAATTCAACATTTGCTGTGCTGAAGAAACCCATTGTGTAGGCCAAGTGTGTGACAGACAGTCAGCTGAACAGGTTTCAGTAGGACTTCTAGGCTAAGACAAACTAGGAAGAAAGATTTGGCCATACACTTCTAAAACTAAGCCAATTAAAACCATACCCACAACCAATCATGAGGATGGCACAAGGCTAGCCTATGTTTCATTCCATTGCACATGTGAATGCCATGAGTTGGGGGCCTATTTGATGGCAGCTAACAAAATGAAAAGATCCTACATAACAAGATGACCAACACCATCAACCCTGGGCCCCAGTGATGATGTCAGTGAAAGTGGAGAAATGGAATAGAAAACCCCAGGGAAGAAGAGATGTTGGAATATGAGTCAATTTAGGTCAATAGCATGTCAGGAAGGAAGAGTTTATTCTATGTAGTCCCACAAGCATTTATCGAGCACCACTCACTGGTAGGTGCTATAGATATAGATATAAAATAATCAAGCGTAGGTCCAGCCCTCAGGGAGCTTTTATTCTTCAAGGACCTCCACTGCCATACAACACTTTCTTCCTTAATTCCCAGGTTCCTGTTCTCTCTTGGTTCATCTTTTCCCTCATTGATCCCTCCTTCCTTCTGTCTCTTCTGCAGGATCTTTCTCACATTCTCAACCCCTATGCGTCATAATAGAGTCCCTGAATAGTGCAAATAGTTAGTGTACTAAGCTGCTAACTGAAAGGCTAGAGGGTCCAGTCCATCCGAAGGTGCTTTGGAAGAAAAGCCTGGTGTCCTACTTCTGAAAAATTGGTCACTTGCAGAGCACAGTTAACTCTGACACCCATGGAGTCACCATGACTCAGAACTGACTTGGTGGCAGCTGCTTTTGTTATATATAAAAATACATCAAGATTCAGACTTTGGGCCTCTTCTCTGTTTATATCATACCCAGGGGATCTCATTCAAATCTGTGCTTTAAAGTGTCACTGATATGCTACCAGTTCCTGAATTTGCATCACCTCTGTATTCCAGATTCACATGTCCAGCTCATCTCTACATGAATGTCTAATGTGCATCTCAAACTTAACATGTCCAAAACAAGCTCTTGTTTTCCTAACCTCTCTCCAGGCTGCTCCTCCCGCAGCCTTCCTTGCCTCTGTAAATGGCAATTCTCTTTTTCCATTTGTTCGGGATGTTTCTTAAATACTGTCTCATTCACATCACATTCAATCTATCCACAAAATCTTGTTTTCTCTAATCTTCAAAACTATTCACAGTCCTTCCCTTTCTCACCCCTCCATTGACCACCATGGTCAGAGCTATGACCATCCTTCTCTTGGATTATTAAAATGGTCTTCTAGCTCCTCTTCCTCCTCCAATCCTTAACTGAAAAAACCAAACTCACTGCCATCAAGTTGGATCCGACTCACAGCGACCCCTCCTTGGTTTCCGAGGCAGTATCTCCATGGACATAGATTGCCTAATCTTCCTTCTGGGGAGTGGCTGGTGAGTTTGAACTGCCAGCCTTCTGGTTAGCAGTCAAATGCCTTAGGCACTACACCGCCAGAGCCCTCCTCCATTATACTTTCCACAGAGAAGCCAGAGAGATATTTTTTACATATCGGTCATTTACATACTCATATGTTCAGAAACTCCAGTGGCTTCCCTCTCTCTCAGAGGAAAAGCCATGGTGGTTACCATGACCAAAAACCCCTTCATCATTTAGCCCCATTACTTCTCAGATCTCATCTCCTATGACTCTCATCACACCACCTCCTTGTGTTCCCTCGCATGCCAAGCACATTCCACCTCAGGGTCTCCTCTCTTATTAGTCCTTCTTCTGGGATGTTCTTCCCAAAGACATTCAAATGGATCACTCAAGCAGTCCATTCTCTCTGTCCAAATAACAGCTCATCAATAAGGCTTTCCTTGACCTTTCTATTTGCAATATCAGCTCTCATCCTTCCAGGCACCAGCCATCCCATTACTTGGACAATTTTCCCTAGCACGTATCATCCAAATATCACCTGACATACTGTACAGACACGTTTTGCCTAGTCCTCCTCTCAAATAAAATGCAACCCCATGAGAGAAAGGATTTTGTTTTTACTTGAGGTAAAACAATTTTACTTTATTGCATTATGGTCATTATCATCCGTATTTTATAAGGTTAGTATCTTACCAGAAAAAAATAAGAAATTTCATCCAATATATAAAGCATTAATAGGGCTAATTTGATCATTGATCATTAACACATATGGTATTAGTTGCCTCGCTTCACAGTTTGCTTTTATAGCTCTTCAATCATTTAGTTCACAAGGTCAAGGAGAAATATTTTAAGTCCATGTTTTTTTTCCCCAAAGTTATTGGGAGTGTGTAAATTAATTCATGAACTTTGATACTTGGCATGTTCATTTGCAAGACAGAATTTTAACTCTCCTTTATGTAGCACTGGAAGTCTCTACTTTCCCCATTCATTATCCAAAATTCTGCCATCCAGCTATTAGCATAGTTCTTTCACAAGAGAACACCCATGTTAACACTGATTTTGTGCAGTAATCTTTACTGACAATTCCCTCTGTATATAGGTAAGCGTGTTTACATGTATATACATTTGTGTGGAGGAATGTGCCTATTTTAGTTCATTGAATGCATTAGTCTTCCTCACTAGATTAAACATTCCTTGTGGGCAGAGAAAATTTAATTCTGAAATTATCATCATCTTGTGCAAAGTCAGCAATTAATATTTATTAGATAAATCAAAAATTCTAAATACTTGATAATGTCTAGTCTAGTTCTTATTAGCCAGTCAGTCTCTGGGAAGAGGAAGTCCCAAGGCACACCAAATCCTATCAGAGACACCTGGACCTCAGAGAAGGCTCCACCCAGTGTGTAAGGGAAGCTGGACGTGTCCTGGAAGTAGAAGAGCTTCGAGTAAGCTCCCAAAGTGGAAATAATTGCAGAAACTTCCCCAAAGTAAACTCTGTATGCCTGCTTTTAGATCTTCCAAGAATGAGAACTATGTCTCCTGGAGATTGTCATGGAAGAGAGGGAGAAGAAAGATGTTCAAGACTGTAGTTCTTCTAAGCTACAAAGGGGATTTCCAGCAGAGAGGAAGTGGAGAAGGAGGGGGATATGTTTCAGCCGAGGGAGGTGATACTAAACAACTACCAGGATACAGAGACCTGGATCTGTCTTTCTTGTGGAAATACATCTTGAAGGGTAGTTAAGACGCCAAATCCTTACCACTAGAACACAGTCTGGGATACTCTTAACCATTTCCCAAGACTCCTCCGTCAAGATTTACCAGGGCTCCCTGTGCTGACTCCCCTTCCCCTAGATCAGAGTTACCCTTTTACTCTCATTCTCTGCCTTTCGAACTTTTAAAATTCCACATATGCTCATTTCTGAAGAAATTCAGAATGCTCACCCCATAGCACAAACATGAACTCATGTACGGAACACATATGTGATGTTAAAGACTAATTTTAAAGCCAAAAGAGGAAGCTGAGACCCAGGAAAATAAGGAATTCTTCCGAGCACATAAAGTGATTAAGAAGGGCAGTCCTTCTGTGGTACAAAGAACTGCTTCATAGCTCAGATGCCACGGCCTTGTGTGACTAGTTCTATAGGAATAAGGATTATTGGTGAGCCACCAAACAGCATCAACAGGGTTCTGCTTTGCTAAACAAAGCTGAGATTTGAAATCAAGTATTTTAATATGCATGCTATTCCTGACATACAGACATGCTAATGCATTCATCAGGCATCAGAACAAGCCACACTCAGTTACATCACAGGCAGATTCTTCCTTTGGTTAAACACAAGCCCATGCTCTTTTCAGCTCCCTTTGACATCAAGCACAGCTGAGATAATAAAGCTTCCAGCACAGAAACATTTCTCTTTACCTCTTTGCTTCCTGGTGGTGAAGTGGACAGTTGGGCAGTGATATTGAAGCCTCGATCCTCAAGAGGAAATATAAAGCCTTCGCTTTTTGCCCCTCCCTTTCCACTGTGTCCTTGGTGAATCAGCTCGCCATCTGCTGGATGGCAAGGACAGCCCTGAGGAGGACGTTCCTGGAAAGGTCACCCCAGAGCTGCTTTAAACCCAAACTCTTGGGATCATTGATGCTTTCTGTAGAAGCACCCAGCTCTGAACATCCACCTGCCCGGCTCAGGTGGAAAGATTTGCAAACCTAACCTCCATTCAAGGAAGCAAGAATCAGAAGAGAGCAGTAGGAGCGCACCAGGTTGGCAGTGTCCTGTTCAAAATTCCAGGGATTGCCTGTGC